GATTTTCAAATGACCCAAATGACTTGTCATTTGTCATTTGAGTCATTTGAGGTCATTTAGTCATTTGTCATCACTGCTAATGGACCCAATGGACCACCAATAGACCACACATTTGCCAACCCTGATCTATTAAACCAAAAAGGTAAATCCCATCACCATACCACGTCATTCCATAAAGATTAATTTCAAATCCTGTATTAGGAGAAATATTTCAATTAACCAACAAACCCTGGAAATAAAATCTACATAATGCATTGAAAAAAAAACCTATACCTATCTGCGTCCAACCAAAAACAACCAATTTCTTCCTTTGCTCATCAGATACAAAATTCAATCCTTTTAAAGTTTTATTTAAAGCATCTCTCATTATTACCAAAAGTTTTATCTTGTCAACATATTTCTTCTTCTTGGTTGCTACAGGCAATCCAAATGGTCCTAATCCTAAAGATACTTCACCAAATATTACTTCCATTTTGTTTGGTATGTTTAATAAGAACCCCAGCATATCAACCTTCCTACCAAGTTTGCTTCTTTGGAATGGATTGCTATTTTAACAAGAATGATTAATATTCAAGGTTGTCCTTTTGGATTAGAATGAGATTTTGTACTTACAGGTTTTCAACGGTATTTCTAATCCAATCCAAATCAAAATCCCTCTGTTGATTGTAAGATAATTTCCATGATTCTGAACTGACATCAGGAAATTAATTTAGTGTAAACTTGCATAAACCTTACGATGCTGATGTAATATTGTGTAAATCTTACAGTGCCAATGTAAGTTTTACACTTTTTTATTATTAAACTTATGATTGATATGTGCAAATTTTTTTTATATTTTCCAGATGGAATACCAATGCTTTAAGATCAGGAATCATGGACTATTCAAATATGTTATAGTAGAAAAGTTACCAATAGTTTGTAAACAATGATATTGGGATATAATATAGAAAAATACATACAGCTTTGAATTTACCGAGATATGACAATATATCTTGAGGCATGTCCGGAAGTAATTTCTGTTTATGCATACGAATTTCCTCAAGCTTGGATTTGGTAAAGACCTTTTCATTAATGAGACTTCTGTCATCTGGATCAATGATAAAATAATGACAGAGACTTTTGATGTGTCAATATCTTAAATTACAAATGACAAGATCGATGATTAACACTTACTGCTCCTGAGCACATCTCATGCCAAGCTTGTATAGCTCATCCTCAACAACTTTTCCTGTCATCAATACCCATTTTTTGCTGTTATCCATTATTTGATATATGTCTGCAAACTTACTAAAATCCTCATCCGACATTTGTATTTCCTCGCTGTCTATTGCATCTGTTGTTGAGTTGATTTGAACTTCGTTTTCATCAGTTTTTATCTGTATCATATCCCAAAATAGGGAAACAACATAAAAATTTAAAATTTAAACTTTTCAAAGTAACCAAACATCTATTTATATTTCTTTTTTTTTTCGAATAAACTAAATACAAATGCCTATTTATATTTTTTTTTCTTGAATAAATAATTAAATATTATACTTGAATCTTAAGTTTTATATAGCAATTTTAGGCAAGAATCCAGTGGTCCCTCCATATAAAGATAAAATATTTTATAAGAAAGTCCCTTTGAAAATTTGTATATTAAAACTTTGGGTTTCTTATTATTTATTACATTTGCAAATACAATTTATAAATTTGTATAAATAGTAGTTTTTAGGAATGAAGTATGGGTTCCAGAAAATTTCAATTAGTGATCTGCGAAACTTTGCACCAAATTCTGTTATGAAATTATTGCAGTTGTTTCACGTATCACGAATTAATATATATTAATATAAACTCACCTACCATAAATATCCAACTCACCAGTTGTGTAATGTCAAATGAAAAGAGTCCTTACTAAAAAAAGTAATGTTTTCTTAAATAAAACCCTTTTTACTTTACAAAGTAGATTTGTACTTGATATCAAAATCTCTAAATTACAAAAGCTTCGAAAGGTTTGGTATCATATTAATGGAAACATTTAGCAAATAATCCAAAAAAGTAAATTTTCAATTGGAATCTTTACATGTGATAAAGGACAAATTTCTTCATTGTAATGTATATTATTTCATTAATAAAATGTGCTCAATGTAACAGATTACATATATCTACAATATGGTGTTGGCATAAATTAGTTCGTGAAAAGGGTTTAGAAAAGTATCCAACCACCCTATAATTTTATTATATAAAACACTTAATAAAGTTGACAAAATGCAAATTTTAAGGCTTTACGTTTTGTTGTCTATACTT